TCGCATCTCCCGTTACAATTTTAAGGAAATGTGCACAACAAATGTGGATTGTAAAAGGCGGAATGGCGATATTGTGAGCTAAATGTCTATGGGCATTGGGTATGGGTAATCCAAATATTGTAAGACCGTAATTTTGCAAAATTCGCCTACTGACGAATTAATAAGAGCCCTACTAAAATCTGTAACGACACTGTTGAATGGCTACCTGCAACGAAATGGTGAAGCCAATTTCCGATTGTTGTCGATGTATGCGAATTCGATATCATTTCACATACGGGCAACGTAATTTTTTTCCTTCCGCGGGGTAATGAATTCCACCGGCGTAGAAAACTCGCTTGCTGTTTTCGTGAAATTTTCTCACAACAGTTCCCGTGCAATCTAAATATAAAGGGACGTCCCCAACTAGTCTAAACATAAAAGGTAGGTCCACTGCAATTGTAAATAAACTACGATGTGGGACGTATTGTAGTGATGATGGATGTATGTAGAGACGCTTTTGGTTTTTAAACATTAGCGCCACTGCCTCGTAATCATCCTTCGCTAAATCCTTTTCGCAGTTCTGATTCTGATTTGAGTTTTCGAGCCGCTCCAGCAGTGGGAATGTGGTGAATTGTTTTTAAACCTACCAATTCGTCATCGGCCTGTAATGTCTTCTTTTGAACATTAAACCCAGTCATATTTTCAAGTTCCTTCTTGGCCATAGTACGATCGTATCCCCTTATTTGCTTTCGTTTAACCACATTATCATCTCCGTGATTAAAACCTCCCTTCGCGACTAAAACGCTCTGAATGAAACCGTCTTTGCTAATACTGTCGTAAGATAAGTGACAAGTAAATATGCGACATTGGGAATACACACAACAAATATAAACAACAGCCGTCTTACTGGTCACATTATTTCTTTTCGAAATAATGTGCAAATAGTCCAGGCCCCAGAGGATTTGACCTTGCAAATTTCTGAGACAAGGAACCGTGATGCAGGGCTTATTTTTTTTGGGTCGCTGAATCCGAATTTGACATTTGCACAAAAATTCGGATGACGCGGGAGCCGCCATCTTGGAAAACTGGCGGAAAATCGGCGGTTTTTTCACAAAACGCGAAATAACTCATTTGGTATCGGTGTTTTGGCGAAGACACATCAGTAATAAATTAAAGTACATAAAATTTCCTTTGAGATGAGACCTTGTTGATGAAAATCGGATAAAAACTAACGCCACTACAGTGCGACGAAATTCGGCCCAAAAATTCCGTTTCTCAATTTTCAAAATTTCGAGCGCAAAAAACGGAACTGACGTGATTCACGAGCAGTAAGCTCCGAATCTGAGGAGCTTTTGAAGAACATCCAATTGAATCCCTAATTTTGGTAATCATCGACGCAAGATTGCTTCTTTTAGTGTGGTTTTTTGATTTTTTATATCCTTATTGGCTGTTTCGTCAGAAACTCGCATTCGTTATTCAAATGCATAATTGGCTAGCATTTAACGAAAGAGAACCAACTTTTTTGCTACATTTCAAAACCATGTGTTCATCGAACAGTTCAACCAGGATACGTGGTTTTGGAATATAGCCAAAAATTTTTTTGTTTTTCGCGCATTGCCGTCAAATTTTGCTGTTGATAGAACATAACGTCCTGCCGTCCAGCTTTTGGAATACTTATGGCCGTTTGCACCGAAAAATTTAAGCTGAACTTAGCTTAAGGGTAGCTTCAAAATCCATGACAACCATTGTCATGGATTTTAAGCAACAAATGATTGCCATTATTGGTTATTCCATATCTGTAAAAAAAACGTGGGGGCTAGGAGTCAAGTTGGCCCCCGAGATTTGAGTGCGGGAACTACCGTGCGCCGTACAACTATTTTCGAAAATTTTAACGGCACAATCCATTGTGCATCCAGCACAATTGATTGCCATTATTGCTTATTCCATATCTGTAAAAAACGTGGGGACTAGGAGTTAAGTTGGCCCCCGAGATTTCAGTGCAGGAACTACCGTGTACTGTAAGACTATTTTTGAATATTTGACCGGCACAATCCAATATGCATCGAGCACAACTCGTTAAAGTAGTAATGGAATTTGTACGTTAAAAAAACCGGGGGGCTGGGAGTCAAATTGGCCCCCGGGTTTCAATTTAAAAAAAATTGATTTTAGCACAACACTAGCACTATTTAATAATTTTCATTACAGATTATTTTTTTAATTGCGGGGGCTAACTTGACGGAGCTTAATAATTTTACTTAGCGTTTCACACATGTGAGTCCGCCTAGATAAGTTGCTTTGCGTTTGGGAGTTCTGTTCCACGATTCTTCTGTGGAACTTAATTTTTGCGCTAGTATCCCATGTAGAACAAAACGTTTTTGGAACTTTGGGAAGTCCCCAACATGGCATATATTTGTTATTTGTAGAACGTTAAATGTAGACGTACTGGAAAGTGTCCTTGGAACAGACTTACAAAACAAACTCAAAGGGTTGTTACATTGACCAGCACATTTACATACAGTTGAAACATGCGTAAAATTGTTAAGCTGTATACCTGTTTTGCCCTTCCGTGTTTTTCATTTTAACTCGCGTAAACATAATTCAGTATTCAGTTTTCAGTTTTGCAAGTGATACGTGTAAGGTGTTTTGCTGTAGAGATTATTATTTTAGACATTTATCGCAAATATGTCTGGAGAAAAGGTAAGTGATTTTTTTAAATATTTATACGTTCAATGGATTATATTGTTGTGTTACATGTATATAGCAACAGAAACCGAAAATTTGAATCTATCTTTCTATGAAATGCATATATGGTGTATTTTCCAGCTCACTTTAATTGATCCCTTATTTATTATTCAAATTACCTTAGTCTATAATGCACTTGCATATTGGATTTTGTTTAGTATTTTGAATCTTGAAACAGTAGATCGCAGGTAAAAATATCAGGTAACAAAGCAATAACGGTCACATGCAAACCAGTTGTTGAAGGCGGAATTTTCAAGAATCCATTTGAGGTCCACATTTAATAACCCTTTTGCAATTGTTAAGATATCTTATTTAGCTAAATGCAATTTTTTTATTTAGAATTTATCCTATAAACTACCGTTGATCTCTTTTAATTCATTTATTCATACCGCACTTTAGTTGTGGCGTAAAAAAAATAAAACATTAGCATGCAGAAAAGTGGAAGATCACAAAAGAACGCAGGTAGATTTTCCAACCGCCAATATAATAATGAACGTATTACGTAGGTAATTATTTCAGTTTGGGGTATTTCTGAGTAACTTTAAGTTTTAATTCAGTTGTGTAATTTTTTTAATCATGAATTAACAATTGTAGACTAAAAAATTTATGGTTTATCAACCATTATCGAGTAATGCGATTTATAACAATGTTCCTGATGAAATTAAAGTGGACATAAACATAGATGGGCTGCCAATATCTGAAACATGTTCCTTTTGGCCAATTTTGGGTAAAATTCCTGATACCCAACTGTCTTTATAATTAGCGCACATCACGGCATCCAAAAGCCAAAAGATGTGCATTTTCAAAGATGTTCATTGAAGACATGAATAATATGCAAAACAAAGGTATATATTGGCATGGTCAAAATAAAGAAGTGTCCATAAACAACATTATATGCGATGCGAAAAATTGTTGCTACTAAACAAAACGTTACCTAATGCAATCTTTTCCAGAAAACCTAGATCACTGCACTTTGTTGATAAATGGAAGGCAACAGAATTTCGGCAATTTTTATTGTATACGGGTCCGTTTGCATTAAAAGGAGAGTTACCCAATGATCAATATAAGCATTTTTTACTTTTTCATGTGGCAATTAGGTTACTATGTCATCCTATATATGCATTTGACTCGAACACCTCAATAATGCTAATCGATTGCTCAGACGTTTTGTTGAAGATTTTGATCTTTTCTATGGCGATAATAGCATCACTTACAATGTCCACAATTTAATCCACCTAACAGACGATGAAAAGATAAACGGGCCACTTGATAATTTCAGTGCCTTTCCATACGAAAATTTTATGAAAGACATTAAAATCTGCGTGAACAGCTCTAATTTTCAATTACAACAAAACGTTTCGCTGGGAACGTTTCTGAGGGCGGACATAGAACGTTTTTAGAGTGTATGTGGAACGTATTGGAAACGTTTCCTAAGATGTTTCATGTTTCTACCGGACAAATTAGAAACTTATAAAAACGTAAATGTTCTACCTGGGTACTTTCGGCCATGTTAATTTATACGTACTGTTTTTTTTTTATATTTTTTGCATATTTTAAATTTTAGTATTTTAGCTCTATAACCGCAATTTACAGTTCAGACGTTGTCAATAAAAATACACATTAGCCTAGACCTTAAAAGGGTCATAATTGTTTTTGACTAGGCCGCTTCCAAATAAATAAAAAATTGTCGTGTCCTATTTTTTTGCTTAATACACTCGTAAATATCAAACCGCGCCTAAATGCGCTTGAAAATTCTCATTTAAATAACATGGAGATTTGATCAATTTTATTCTTAAAATAAACTACACGTCGAGTTACACGTTTAAATATATAACCTAATCTAAATTTAAAAAAAAAAATAAATAAATTTTAAACATTGGAATTTTTTCAAAAAGTATCCGATTACGATAACATTTTGCATTTTTGAATGAAAAATTTGCCAAATCTCTGTGGATGGATTCATTTTGGATTTCTTTTGTGATAGTTCAGGTAATCTTATATTTCGATCAATGTTACTTAATTGATTTATATAACAGGCGGTATCAAAAATGACACTCTTTCAAAAGCGCTATTTTTGGATTGAGCTAGGAAGCTGTTCTGTCAAGAATTTGGCACATTTTTTTTATTTATTTAGAATCGTTTTAGGGGGCGACCTAGTACAAAAAAGTTTTCACCCTTTTACGGTCCACTCTAATATACATACATAATAAAAATGATAAAAACAGCATTTAACATTAAAATTCATTGCAGAAAGAGGTGTCATTCCTGGGAGCCTCCAATATGCGCAGGTTCCTAACACATATTGCTGGGGAACCTGCGTATCTTTCCACAAGGCCTGGGCAACCCGGCCAGTTGTACTCTGGACTGGCTGTTGGGGGGCAGACCATTGCCCAACTAAGGAATCGAGTAATGCGGTGCAGAGCGATAGGCTTTGATTATCGAATTGGTCGTGAGGTTTATGTGATGATAGGGACCAACGACGTACGGAGAGTAAGTGTGTTCAGTGACATTATATTTGGGTGCCCTAATCAGATATTGTTGTATTTTCAGAAAACATCTTTCCATGTACTCAAGAAAGAGTTGCAACGGCTGTTGGAGGTGTTGAAGACGCAGGGGGTACGCCGCATTAATTTATGCACCGTGCCCCGTCCACGGCAGCCCAGCTCCGTACGTTGGAGGTATTCAATGAATGGATCCGCGCGTACAGAGACCGTAAGTATTATATTAAAGCCTATTAGAAAAAAATGTTAACACGTTTTTGTTATTGAACAGGTCGAGTCGTAATAATAGATGTCCACGCCTTTATGTACAACCGTCGGTATTTTAAAAGGTAATAATAAAATGTACTTTTACTATATCTATTGCGCAAGAGTCTGTGAGGTAGCATTCTGCATGGGATATTTTGTTTTCCAAGGTCCGATCCGCCACCAAAAGAAATCAACGGTATTAACACTATAAAACTTTTATTTGTTAACATTTACTTGCACAAAATAATATTAAGAAATATATGTATATTAAATGTGCCGAATGTGACTATCAAACCAATAATAAAAATTATTTAAAAAAACATGTAAACCATTTTAGACTCAATAGGAGTACTTTCGAAAATTTAGTACAAGTAATGGCACCCTTTTTAAAGGATCGGAACATACAGGGTGTCGGGCGACATTCGCATTCTCTATTGTTTTCTTCCACTACAGTATCCTGAGTTTCGGCTTCATTAGTATGTTCTGGCCTCAGCATCTCATCATTACCTTCATCTCCTATGCCCTCATTCTCATCCACTACCTCTAATTCGTCCGTATCCATATTACTTGTACTACCAGTTGGTATTTCCTGATCAGTGGTAAATAGCAGTAGGTCGTAATACCATAAAGTGGGCACGTAAACATCGTCTGTCCCAGTTCCACTCTTCTTTGGTTCTGCAACTTTTTTCACGTCTTTTCGAAAAGATCCGCTAAAGCTCTGAATCTTTTTCATAACGTAGTGTTTATTTGCGTCAGGATATACTGTTTGCAAAGCTCTACCAATCTATCGTCGGCTCTATTTTTAGCGTAACACAACGAAGTTGAGGTAAAGCTTATGTGCTCGTGTTTCCGTCCGTCCGTCCGTTCCATCGGGATCTCGGCCCTTGGGCCACCTAGAGACTTCGGATTTTCGCTAATTGATAGCTGTTATGGTCTATATTTGCCCATTTCGATAAGTTTCATTTAACTCCATATTTTGCGCAGACTGCGCAATGCCAACTTTCATATTTATGGAGACATTTCTTTGAAATTTTAACCACAGACGCTTCTAGTAAAGACAAACATTTCGCACATAGTAAAAATTATGTGGGCATGCGCAGTGGCTGCACAGACTGCTCATAGCACGCGAAAGAGTGTAAGTGTAAAGGTACATAATGCGTAACTACAATGACTGTAGTGTAGAATCCGATAATCTCCTCATTACCAAAAAGCCACTTGAACAAAAACTGCGGAATTCCGAAATGACTACGACACCGATTCGTTTATAATGCAAGAGCATCAGGGTCAGATGGAAAGTTCCATTAAAATGTATGGACAAAAATTGCTGCACTATTAGGGGAGGGTGGTACTAGGTGAGACGGTGTACTAAGTGAGACAACTGGAATATTTTTTTAAATTTCCCTCCTAATGCTGTCTGTCGTCAGTGGGTAATCAACATAACCAAGGCACACTTCTCTGTGAAATTTTACGTTGTTTTGTTTAAATTTGACGGATTTTGGAGGTGGAAATTAAATTTAAGGTAATCCAGTTACTTTCTTATGTTTTTAGATAATCTGTAAATAATTTATTTTATTCACAATCATCCTGTAATATCTAGCATAATTAGTATCTACAAAGGTTAGGAAGTTGTACATATCCACATTCTCTTTACTATCAGGGCCGGGAGTAATTTCTCGCGGTCAGTATAATGACTTCTTCCCCCCCTCTTCATAACTCTTCGCTTGTTTGTTAGGTGGCGCCACTCGCAATCGAAACTCGAAAAATTTTTAAAAATCATATGAAGGACGGTCCTACGGTAAAACTACGGGAGAGGTTGATAATAATATGGCTACAGCAAGTGCTAGTGCGGACCAAAATGAAGATGAATTTGCAATACTTTTGCGTACGCGGCAAGTAGAAGTGAAAGTGGGGAAAGTATGAGCGAGTCTGACTCTGTTTTGGAAGAAGCTCAACTGCAATCGGTGCCCGTACCGACCGGTGACCCAACATTGTCTTCTCAATCCCAAAGATTTAGCGACATCAAAAACAGATGGTCCTACACAGCCAAAACCGAGTGTGTTTCCTCAGAAAAAATTTGGAAACAAGTGGAGAAGTTTTAAATCTTCCCGGTATTGTCAGTTTAAGTGGCTACTCTACTATAATAGGGTGCCAGAGGATAGTCCATATTGTTTTCAAAAAATAGATTTGGATGCGATAGTTACCGAGTGCAAATGCACCCGCATAAGTTACTTATAATAATTTTTTAATAATAATTTTTTTTATTTGCTGAAGAATCTACAATGTTGGTGCCCACCTGAAGCAGATTGGGAGCAATTTGTGCCCACCTATTTCAGAAACACTGACGCAATTGCTGGGCCTTGTGACCAATACACAAAAAGGCGAATCTCAAGAGAACCTAGAAACATTTTCAAGGAAACGAAAGGCTGGCTTAAATGAATTAGAAAAAAGGCATAGGGACAAGATGGAAAGGCAAGATAGATTTCTTAAATTATTCGAAGATTTCGTCACGACCTACAAAAATAAATTACTATTATTACACTTTATTTGCTAATCTTTCTTATTAAAATGATACTTTAGTCTTGAAAACGTTCATTTAGTGGCAATGTATTCATTATATAGTTACGTTTGTCTCTAGCAGGTACATCGTTCAGTTCATTACCATGCACAGCATTATTGTCACCAACTTCTATTTCATTTGGTTCTACAAACTTTTCAAACCTTTCAATATACATACTTATGTAAAACACATCCGTAAACTATTAATTAATATTAATTAATGAGATCTAGTCGCACAGTTTCTAGAAATTTTAAACGACGAAACCGTCCTTTCAAGTAACCAAAAGCATTTTCTATAACTACCCTACATTGCGACAATTTAAAATTAAATTTTGTTTTCCTGGCTGTTAATGGACCTATATTTTTAAAACCCACTAAGAAATTGCGTGTTAAGGAATATGCTAAGTGTCCAATGAGGTGAGTAAAATAGCTCACAGAATTCCAGACACTCTTTATCTAAAGGTACAAAGCGCTTATTTTCTCGAATTCGGAGCAGAACCTGGAGCAGAAGTAAGTTAGACAAAATTGTTAATGGTAGATCTGAATTACTTTCTTCTTTTTGTATTAGGTTTAGACAATTTAGAAGAAACATAAACTCCCATTCAATAAATTAAAATTGTATACTGCATTCATTCCTAGTTTCAATGCTTCTTGTTTCAGAAATCATTTATGACGTCCATACGATGAGAGAAAAAGAGTTTGAAACCACATCCTCCGAGTGGTTTCGGCTTTGCAGCCAACGATTAAAAAGAAAAAAATTGTAAAGTAGATATCTGTTTTTCAATGTATGCATTAAAATGTTATTAAATAAAAAACTACATACTCTATGTCTAAATATTTAATTGCTTTTATATATACCTTGCAGTTCCGTAATATGCCATTTTTATTGTAACAATGAGCAACCTATGTGATGTGTATAACATTTAGGTTTGGTACATTAATGAGCTTTATAACAACGACTTAATATGCTCGTCACATAACAATGTGTCAGGGATGTCGCTTTGTACAAACATGGGATGTCTGTAACTTGTCTATGTGGAACACATTTCTCCTTGATTGCCATATTTAGAGTATCACGGGTATGTGTAACTGGATACATTGTATATATATGCATGTTATGTAACTGTGTTTCGAGTTATAACTTGAAATTAGTAAAATATTTTATCTATGTCCGCTCTACGCTTTCGTAGAATGAAGATAGTGATCAATCGAGATCTTCAACTTCAAATGATCCGTGTCACTGTGCATCGCCGGCTATTACTCCCTCAGTATCTCGCAAAAGACTTTGTAGTGAACAGGACATCGAAAGACGCCATCAAGAAAAATTACAATTAATTCGCGATTTGCAAGAAAAAGCAATGGAAAACTTCAGTTCGCAAATGGGAAAACTTTTAGAGAAATTGTAAGACGCCACATGACCGAACAACTAATTTGGAAAAATTATTTAGTTTATTTTTTAGTATCTTTAAGTTTTTACAGAATAATATGACCTAAGAAAACAAACTTAGTTTGATTACATTAGGTTACAAGTTTTAATTATACAGAGTGGCCCAACGAGAAGTATACAGAGGGCTTTTAGGGTATTAAGTTTAGAAATTTCGAAAAATCCTCGAACACGTCAATTTTGTATTCGAGGGGGACAACTTCTGGAATACAAATCACGAACCCAAGTCTTCACTCCTCTACGTAGGGAGCTTAACTCCTAAAATTTTAAATGGAATCCTATGGCAAATGGCACATTATTGGAAAGCCAATTTAATCGTGATTACTAATCTGCTTTGCTTTTTAAATTCTATTGATTCGTTTCGGAGATATTCGCATTTGAAATGGTGAAAGGGTTCAGTGCGACTTCTCAGGGTACCCTCCACGCACACGGACCGCGCGTAGAATGGAAAGGGGGAATCTCCTTCGGCTTAGATACGGTGGCTCAATGGAGAAGGTTTCGCTCGGTTCTTTACTTTTATTTTTCTTAAAATTTCGCCGCGATTCGCTTATTACAAGAATACGCGCTTATGGTTTACGGGCGCGATCGACACAGATGCTGCTCCGTGAAAAGACGGCCGGCAACTGCTGGCAGCAGATTGCCACATGAACAGTATGATAGGTGTTACAGTTCATGGACGAGAAGTAAATCTTTTCTGGTACAATTGGTGTGATTAAATTATCAGAAGCACATACAGCCGCTTACATTGGAGATACATTGGAACAAGTTCTTGCAGAATTCAAAATTAATCCTGAGAAGATAGTAGCCTTCGTGTCCGACAATGGGGCGAATACAGTAAAAGCTATCTCAGACAGATTCGGAAAGCATGCTTTACACACACTTTATATCTCCTGTGCGAAAATACTTTACATGTTCCAGTTGTAAACGAACTGATTGGAAAGTGTAGAAATATAGTAACGTAGATGAAACGTCACGTTAATGCCAATGATGACCAGAAGATGCAAATCAGTGCAGGGGTGCTTTAAAACTAGCCTGTACAGGAATACTGTTACACAGGTCCGTAATACATGATCTTCAACTTTGCATTATATCGAGAGTGGAGGAACAGCAGTTACGTTATTAAGGCATGTAGTCTCCACAACATTAATGATGTACCTATCACCGAGTGTATTATTCCATCTTCCATGTTTTTATCCTATACATACGTACTAAAGGGAGGATGATCCCATTTTCTGAAATAAAACGTGGATTTAATAATTTAATTAAATTGTAGGTACTTATGGGCATGGCTGACAAAAAGAAACCGGGAAGTTTTTATCGAAAAAGAAAAGCCGACAAAGAAAAATTCATAGAAAGACAATCTGGCTCGCTTTTTAAATATATTCGCTTGATAAACGATACTGAAACTGAAGGGCAAGATCAAGGAAATCCAGATAATCCGCAGATGACTGGTGATACTGAAGGAAATATTTTTGCAGAAACTTCGCAGGTGAATTCAGAAGTTGTTGGTAATAATTCAGTAGTAGATCCGGAGATAGGTATTCTATTATGAGAACTGTTGTGTGGATGTTGTGTACATATTGAATTTATAGAAAACGATTCACCAGAGGAAAGTCCGAAAGAAGCTGCCGTAAGCTGCGTGAGCGTTAGAAGTCTAGATGACGATCCTGCAAATTGGCCTCTAAATCTCGATGATAGTATGCGAACGATGTTGGTGCGGAACAAACCACAGCAAATCTCCAAATTCGATTTTCCCAAGGACTGTCGGAACAGGAAATTCTCGTCGAACCATTACAAACGAATTCTACCTAACGGCGAAGAAGTTAAACGTCCATGGTTACTCTATTCTATCAGAGCAGACATGGTTATTTGTTTCTGCTGTAAGTTGTTCAACAGAAAACATAGGACAGCTCTTCAGGAATCAGGATTTAAAGATTGGAAAGATCTTGCAGCACTGCTGTCTTCGCATGAGAAGAGTAACTCTCATTTGGAGAGTTATCAAACGTGGAAAGAACTTGAGTTGCGTGTTTCCACAGATTCAACCATCGACAAAGCCAATCAACTACAGATTAAAGAGAGGGAAAAGTATTGGTGTCAAATTCTAGAACGCTTGATTGCTTTGATCACAGTTCTTGGCACACAGAATCTAGCATTGCGTGGAACAAACGAAAAATTGTATAGTGACAATAATGGGAATTTTCTAAAATTTGTCGAATTTCTAGCCTTGTTTGATCCAGTGATGACCGAACATGTTCGTAAAATACGAAGTAACGAAATTTCAATTCACTACTTGGCGAAAGACATTCAGAATGAACTCGCTAACATATTGGCAAAAACTATCAAGAAGTCAATCCTATCAGCTGTAGAATCTGCCAAATATTATGCGATTGTCTTAGACTGCACACCAGATGTTAGCCACATTGAACAAATGACGATGATTGTGCGATTTCTTCATGTGGTTGAAGCTTCAGAGAGCAACCCTTCTGGTGAAGTAAATGTCCGGGAGCACTTCTTAGGATTTATTCCGTTAAACCAAACTACTGGTGCATTGATGGCAAACACATTGATGGAGGAGCTTGAAGGAATGAATTTATCAATTGACAATCTCCGAGGCCAAGGCTATGACAACGGAAGCAATATGAAAGGTAAACATAATGGTGTTCAGAAATTAATTCTAGATAGAAACCCACGTGCGTTTTTTGTACCATGCAACGCACATAGCCTGAATGTTGCCTCGAGGCTACCCATTTCTCCAATTTAGTTCAGAAAATTTATAACTATTTCTCTGCGTCATCGCATCGTTGGCAAGTTTTATCGAAACATATATCTCAGTTAACTGTGAAGCCCCTGAGCGATACAAGATGGGAAAGCCGAATAGATGCATTGAAGCCTCCAAGATATCAACTGGGTGATGTCTATGTTGCACTTTTGGAAATTGTTGACGACCCGAACTTGAACAATTCTTCTGGCAATACATCTAGGAGTGAGGCGAAAGACCTCACTGATGCAATCTGTAATGATGCAATTCATGGTATCTCTAGTGGCATGGTACGACATACTCAACGAGATAAACGTTACAAGCAAAATTCTGCAAGGAAAGTTGACTGATTTGAATACAGCAACAAAACAACTTCAGTGCTCAAAATTTTAATTGCTGCAGCTGAGATTGCGAAAGAACTCGACACAGAACCATCATTCGACACGGAGCCAATACGGAGGAGGAAATTCAAAAAGAAATTCCATTATGAAGCGGAAGATGAAGCACCTACCGACCCGAAACAAAAATACAAAACTCAATGCTACTTTGCGATATTAGACGTTGCAATCCAATCAGTATACGAGAGATTCCAGCAACTCGAGAATTACCAGCAACTGTTCGGTTTCCTGTTCGATATATACCGGGTGATTCATTAGAACTGATGACAGTTTGAATGTCCCGCAAAACAAAAAATTTTAAAGGTTGGTAATAATAGATTATCATGTGCCTAATTCCAGTGGTGTATGTAGAATCACTCTCCAAGGAGTAATAATTTATTTTTAATTTACAAATAAGTCCTTATTATTTAAATCGTTATTAAATCAATCACAATAATTACGTCGATTCTCATAATCAAGAGCGTGCAGTTGCTCCATTTTTACAATTATTTGAGAAATTGATCGAGAAGTTAGAGTAGGTGTAGCCAATCTGATGTTGCTAAGCGGTTTGTTTTAATAAAAGAACAATTTTTGTTGAGAATTATTTTTCTTCATTAATAAATGTGTCATATTTCAATATTGTCTAGTAGGTACTGCTAATGGGTCTACAATCTCCTGTCGCCTTTGTGCTGCCTCGTTATTTACATTTCTGTTTTCTAAATGAACGTTATCATTCAGTCTTCTTTCTTCTTCCACTTCAACATTTATAACTATTAATAGGTTTAGATAGAAAACTGGTTAGAGAAACAGCTTATCCGAAATTTAGCAGCAAATTCAATTATGGTTATGGATAACGCAATTGTGATCATAAATACGCATGAATTGGTTTTGAAACATTGATGATTGCTGAAGCACAAGGAATATTGATCCGTGGACTAGATCAACATGTTTTGTCTCCCATTTAAGAGACTATGGGTGGTGTCACACTATGCGTTTTTACCGCTCCCGCTAAAACGCTCCTGTTTGACGGGATAATATCACATGTTATTAAATGGTACCAGTCACATATATGCGTTTTCGTCGCACCAACCGGATGCAACCGCATACTGCTGCCGCTGCGCAGGATGACATGACACCACGTGTTGTTGCACGTTGGTTGTCATCAGTTGTCACACTGAGCGTTGCAACCGGGTGTTTTGTTAGGTTTACAATGTTTGATGTCGGTTTATTCATCGAGTGCGTGCATGCAAAAACTGTACTGTGGGAAAAACAATCTAAAGAGTATGTAGATATAAACTGTAGGTAGAAATCATGAGTAGAAATTGAATTTTTGGACATTCCGTAATATACAAAAAATTTTTTCTTGTTCATTCGAATTTTTTCATAAAACTTCGCAAACCTATTATTAGATTCTCGTCCTGAATTAAAAGGATCAATCCAATATTGACGATATATCTGCTTTCGCAGTAACCCCTCCGCATCAAGAGCACAAACCATCTTTAACAATAATATTGAGACATGACACTACTTAAGACTGCCAAAATATAGCAAAAACGCATCTCGTTAGACCGGAATAGTGTGACAAGTAGATCTCATCCTGTCAAACCGCATCCGTTTTAGCGGGAGCCCGGAAGGAGAAACACGCGAAAACAGAAGACACTGAAATGTCAAACACAATTTAATGATTAATGGTTACCTTTATATCTACATTTTGGATATTGCACCATATTTTATACTTATATCGTCCATATATCTTTTTGAATTTGGAAGGCCGTGGTTTTCCCATAGGTTGTTCTGCAAAGCTTTAAACGATCATTTCTGCGCCGTGAGTTTTTAACGAGAATCTTTACTTAA